AAGGAAGGACACTAGATCTTTTGTTTTTCAACTGCAGCCTCTGGCTCCCAGAATGGAATTGAGGGCTTCCTTCCAGCATCCTGGTTTCAAGACTGAACCAGGCCACACCCACAGTGCAGTGTTCTGGATCGTCACCAACACGTGTAAGGCGCCTGTGGGAGGTCAGGATACCTGGAGCGCTAGGTACAGAAGGCCTGGCTAGAGATTTAAATGAAATAGGCTGGGGATGAGCACAGGAGCTAAGAGCCGACCAGAGGCCAGCAAGGAGAGGCAGAGGCTGCACCCCCGCCATTCCGGGGCAGACACCTGCACAGTGACAGAGGGTTCTAGCTGCAATTACGCTACTGCCCTTTCATGCCCAGATCATCGTGAGGATGTGGAAGACACAGAAGTGCAGCAAACACCAGACGAGGATTCTCACAGATTCTATGGAGGCAGGAAATCACATCTGAAGAATCAGAGAGTTGAAAATCAGACAGTGTTTTAACAAGACCCAACCTGGGAAAAAAATCACACACCAACACACAGTCAGAGAAGTATTCAGCATTACCAACAAAAGAAAATGGTTAAAAATCCGTGACTTTAAAGACTAGATTGTTCGTGTATTGTTATTATTCGCTGGGGGAAAAGTTACTGACCATAAGTGCCAGTCCCTCTACTGGAAGCAGGGACGAAGTGTTGGCCAGCTAGGTGACTTGAACTTGAATGTGGAGGGTAATCGGACAACTTCAGTAGGGAGTAACCAAACTTGCTTTGTAGTTTTTAGAGCTCACTTGGGGAAAATTAGGTCAATTTAAATAACTCCAGATCTAGCTGGTTTGGCTCAGTGGATAGAGCGTTGGCCTATGGACTGAAGGGCCTTAGGTTCGATTGTCAAAAGCACATGTCTGGGTTGTGGGCTTGATCCCCATTGTGGGGTGTGCAGGAGGCAGCTGATCAGTGATTCTCTCTCATCATGATATTCCTATCTCTCTCTCCCTCTCTGAAATCAATAAAAATATATTTTGAAAGCACAAAATATAACTCCATTAAAAAAAGTTGTGTTGAGTTTTCATTACTTTGCTCCACCCGAGCAAGTGGAAACCTTGCAGTCTGTCTAGGAAAAGGCATGATATGAGTACAGTACACGTGAGCGAATGAAGACCAGCCGGTGGTAACACTGGCAGAGGAGGCAGTCAGGGGTAGGTGGCCGAGCTATCTAGACAGAGCCAGGGCTGCGCGCCCTCCGGCAGCACCATTTTAGCTGCGCCCTGGCTCCCAGACACAGGCCTCTCGCACCCCTGCCTTAGAGAGGCCTCCAGTCCCACAGCAGCCACAGATGGAGACGTGCCTGAGCCGATGATCCCTGCAGGCAGAGCACTGGCGTCCTCCCGAGCAGGTGCTGATGAGCCTGATGAGCCAGCAGTCTTCTGACCTTCTCATTTACATGGGGCCAAAAATAATAATAATTTGTTAAGAGTTTTTATTAACCTCAAGTGAAGTCACAAGGCAAAATTTAGGCATGTATAACCAAGTCAGGGATTGCACTCTAGCTGACTTTTAAAGGTGAACCGAAAATAACCCACAGGAAACTGTATAGAAGTCGACACTGGAAGAAACAGCAGGTACTAACAGCAAAGGGACAGTTTATTGGCTGTTTACTATGTGCCAACCCCCGTGGTAAGCACTTCACATGCATGATCTCACCTAATCCCCATAACTAATGAGGAGGCAGGTCCTACGATCATCCCTGTTTTTCACCGGAAGACACGGAGGTGGAGAGATGTGAGGCTGCTAGCCCAAGGTCACACATTGGGTAAGTGGCTGAGCCAGGTCTGCTGGATCTCCAAGCCCTGGCCCTCTGCCACTTCTGCAGTGAGGGCAACGCTGGTCCAGGCTTTACCAGGACCCATAAGAAGTTTTCTGATGGGAGGCAGTGAGTCTTAGAGATCATGGAGCAAAGTCTCGGTGCATCCTTAGAGTTGAGAGCAAGGCCAGTATGGGGAAGGCACAATCCCCTGGATCCAAGTCTTTGGAAAGGCAGATTTCCTGGGAATCTGCACATGAGTCCACATTTGAAGATCCTTTAAAGGGATTTTTGACTAGTGAGGAAAGGAAGCCTCTAAAAAGAGTGAACTGGAGGCTATAAAATTACAAATTACTCCATTGGAAAAAAAATTAAATCGATTCAGTTCAACCTGTGTTTGTGAAGAACAGCACCAATAGAAATCAGTGGGGCCCTAGCCGGTTTGGCTCAGTGGATAGAGCATCTGCCTGTGGACTGAAGAGTCCTGGGTTCAGTTCTGGTCAAGGGCATGTACCTTGATTGCAGGTTCCCCCGAACCTGGTCAGGGTGCGTGCAGGAGGCAACCAATCAATGTGTCTCTCTCCCATCGATGTTTCTATCTCTTATAATCTCCAAAGAAAAGAAATTAGTGGGACTGCACAGGGGACTCTCTAGTGGGCCAGATTTTAGAAGGACACATAAGGAAGATTGGAAAAGGGACATGAAATCCAGGATAAAAGTCTGGCTGGAGCCTGAGGGTATAATGCAGCAAAGAGGCTGAATCTGAAAAACAACAACAAAAAATACTCTGAAGACGGCAAAATAGTGCTGTTTCTTTTGGATTGGGAACAAGGAGAGAACAGACCCTGTGCTGAGGCAGATGGTATCATGTCACACGATGGGGAAAAGCAGGATTCTCAACTCTCAGCTTTTCTGTTTTCTTTATCGAGGCAAATGGTCCTCAATCTAGAAATGTTAAACAACCATCTAGAAGAAGAAATTGAATCTGGAAAGGTGAGAAAAAAGGGAGAACAATGAACTCAGATTTCTAAGTCCTGGTGTAAGATGATACATACATAGAGGCTTGGATGTGGCATTATTCAATCAGAATTTGTTGAATGAACCGTATTAACCCTCTGGTGTTGAAAACACTTGCAGATGTAACCTCAGTCTTTGAAAACTCAGGAAGCCTTGCAGAGCCCAAAGACCTAGAGACGAGCACATTTTCTACTTTCCACCTGGGAAAGAAACATGAATTCTGATCCCTGTCAAAATTCTAGGTAGGATTATTTTTAAAATTGTGACTATTTAGAAAGACATTTAGAGATTACTAAGGAACCACTGGTGTTTACTAAGAAGCCATGAAAAACAAATGTCATGTCCTTTTCTGAGTGGAGTTGCAGGGTGCCGATGGACATGGCCCACATTGGAAAGCTTGATTTCAGGAAATGACTTTGTTACCAAAGTTTCCTATCAGACAAGACATAGAAATGTGGGCTGGATGATACCAATTGGATGCATTAAGGGTCTATAGAAGGTTGAGAACGATCCCTTGATGGGTTACCTATCACTGTATCCCAAGTACGTAAGGCACTACCCAACACCTATGTCATAAATGAATGAATGAATGAATGAATGAATTCAGCAGAAGTTAAGAGCTGCATTGTAGCACCAGTTTGCACATTAACTAAATATATAGTTTAGAGCATTGCATAAACATCTCTCTGGACCCCATTTTCCTTATTAACAAAAGGAGACAGGGAGATAAGGGAATTCATCTTTAAAAATATATTTTTATTGATTTCAGAGAGGGAGAGAGAGAGACAGAAACATCAATTATGAGAGAGAATAATTGATCAGCTGCCTCCTGAACACCCCACACTGGGGATCGAATCTGCAACCCAGGCATGCACCCTGACCAGGAATCAAACTGAGACCTCCTGGTCCAGAGATGCTTAACCATAATCTAAGTTATAAGAATATATAGCTATAAAGATTGTAATCTAAGTTATAAGATTATATGGATATAACTTTTCTCTATGAATCTCAAAGCTAATAACATTATTCATTTGCCTTTTCTTTTTGCCAAAAATCTAAATGCCAATCACCACTCCTTTATGACCAAATGTGGTATGAGCTTCTCTGCCCCATGAAGGAAGCCACACCCGACCTGGGCACTCAGTGGGCATTTGATATTGGAGGAGAAGGAGATAGTAACCAGTGTGGCGAGCTGGCACAGCCATGGCATACTCAGTCCTAGGGTGCCATGCCAGCTCAGCCTGGTTCAGTGAGTGGAGGTGGTGAAAGGCTTAGAAAAGACAGACAAGAGAATGAAAGCTGGGTCTCAGTGGGACACTGCCCCTCTGATGGACAGCACCTGCGCCCACAAGCCGTGTCTTTATTTTATAGCAGATGCCACGAGGCAAAGTAAGGGCGTGATCAAGATGTTTACAACATTTCATAATCCATCTTATGCTCTCATCATGACAAAGTGCCGGTTCATGGAAAACGCACAGTTTTGAACAAACGACTGCGTGATGAGGACCCCGGACACCAACAAATAAGTTGATCACATATAGACAATATATCAGAACCAATTTTTTAATTTTCTTAACCAAACCGGTTATGGCCATTCTCGTGGGTTTCAATCCTACTCAACTAAATGCACCTGAACTCTATCAAGCCCACATCAGTCAGGCACATGGGACCACGTGTTCGGACCATCGGTTCAAGCTTACAACTATAGCTCTTGGCTATAATTGTGCTGGGTGGGCTCTGTTCTCCAAGCTGGGACTTGCATGTGGCAATGAGAGGACTGTGCCCTCTCCTCAGTCCAAGGCTTGAACCTGTCCAAAACACTGTAGCCGCGCCCCACCAACCAGCAGGTTTATTCGGGTTTTCTTCGGAGAAGGATGTCATGCACAAACTATAGAAGTTGTACTGAGAACATATAAGTAGGCAGAAGGGTCATTTGTGACAGGACATTATCAAGGGTATATGACCTTGGAACTGAAGTATTCATGTCCTAAATGTGAAAGAAGACCGCCCTAGAGCATTCACAGGTGCGTTTTATTTTTCATGTCCCTGACCTGGAGGCATCAACAGGCCATCGGGGGACTGCTGCCTGCTGAGCTCTTTTTGCTACAAACATGGTCCCCTAAAGTAGCTCCAAAACAGTTTGATCAGGTGGAGAGAAGCGCCAATCTAACCCATTTGTCATTGATTTCTTAAGCAGATTCAGGCACACAGGATGAAGCACAGCTTTTGCAGGAATGGTTTAAGCTGGTTCTGGAGAAGAATAAATTAATGCGATATGAGTCGGAGCTACTGATCATGTAAGTAAGGCAACACGGATAGCAGTGAGGCCTAAACGCAACGCAGGGCGGGAGTGGGGCAGCTCACCCTCCTAGGTGGCCGTCCCGGGGTTTTTTCCTTCTTGTGCATACAGAATTGTGATTGAGGCAAATTGATACTTGATGCCTTGCATATCATGCTGGCATTAGTGCAGAGAATCTTCAGTTATCTATTCTGTCTGTGAAGTCCTGTAGCTAAAATAGATTTCAGGTAATGGGGCTGGAGCTGGGGGGCATTAAGGAAAAAGTATTTTCAACCCATCCCTGCGGCCCAGGCCAAAGGGACCCACCTGCAAACACACACCTGCAACAGGGAAGCATGTCTCTGGCCTCTGAGCGTGAACCGCAGGAGAGGCTTGGCGAGAGCAGCCTGGGCACTTCCTATGGCTTTAGCAGGCTGGAGGACTGAGATGTCCGGCTATCTTCTCTAAATAAGAGGCAGCAGGCTGGTTTGAGGATCAGAAAGTAGAGATGGGCCGGTCGGTATGGCTTGCAGGGGTCCTCAAACTTTTTAAACAGGGGGCCAGTTCACTGTCCCTCAGACCCTTGGAGGGCCGGACTATAGTTTTAAAAAAACAACTAGTCGGCTGCTAAGCAACAGGCAGCAGTGGCAAAAACACGGGGCGGGCCGGATAAATGTTTTCGGCGGGCCGCATGTGGCCCGCGGGGCCTTAGTTTGAGGACCTCTGGCTCAGGGGTTGAGCATTGATCTATGAACCAGGAGGTAACAGTTTGATTCCCAGTCAGGTCACGTGCCCAGGTTGCAGGCTCCCCCCCGTGTAAGGGGCATGCAGGAGGCAGCTGATCAATGATTCTCTCTAATATATAGCAAATAGGTCACATAGCAAATTTGACCCCAAAATATTATAATTTAGAAACTCTCTCTCTCTCTCTCTCTCTCTCTCTCTCTCTCTCCCTCTCTTCCTTCCTTCCTCTCAGAAATCAATAAAAAATATTCTTAAACAGCTTTTTAAAAAAAGAAAGTAGAGATGGATATCAACACACTCTGACAAAGTTGAAGGTCTCTATCTGTCACCATTCTGGAGAGAAAGTAACATTAATGTAAAGCAATTAAGCGCCACATGTTGTACTGGGGGCTTTCACTTATGCTGTCTCCTTTTATCTTCACCCCAGTCCTGAGAGGTAATTGGGGGAGTGGGGAGCTATCTTTTAAGATTCCTAATACATTCTGTTCCTCTCCCTTGGCTGGGTTCTGGACCAGGTGAGAAATAAGACTACCAAGCCACTAGATGAAACATCAAAAGATCACCTTTATTACCGATAATGGCTTGGCCAAATATGAGAGCCCAGGTGAGCTTGCTGTCTGTATTACTGTCCAAGGGCCAGAATAATTAATTACCACAAACTGTGTGTCTTACGACAACAGCAATGTATTCCCTCACTGCTCTGGAAGAGGAAAGGCTGACTCAAGATGTTAGCAGGGCCATGCTCCCTCTGCCTGTCTAGCCCCTGGTGGCTTCAGGCATCCCTTGGCTTGTGGCTGCATCACTCCGCTCTCTGCCTCTGTCTTCACGTGGCCTTCTCTGGGTGTCTGTGTCGTCCTCTTCATTTGTAAGGATACTTGTCAGTGGACTTAGGGTCCACTGGGATAATCCAGAATGTTCTCATCTCAAGGTCCTTAACTTAACTACATATATTATATCTGCCAAAAACATTTTTCAAATAAGGTCACATTCACTGGTTCCAGGGATTAGGACGTGGACATATCTTTTTGGGGTCATTATTCAATCCATGACATGAACCAAACTCCAGAATTAGACATGCTTACCTATATAGTCACAAAAATATGATGGACCCACCTCTTTTTTTTTAATGTATACTTTTTATTTTATTGATTTGAGAGAGGAAGGGAGAGGGATTGAGAAATAGAAACATCGATGAGAGGGAAACATTAATTTGTTGTTCCACTTACCTGTGCATTCATTGGTTGATTCTTGTATGTGCCCTGGCTGGGGGTTGAACCCACAACCTTGGTGTATCCGGACAACGCTCTAACCAACTGAGCTACCTGGCCAGGGCCCACTGACTCTTCTTTTCCCAGCTCCTACATCCAGATGGCTGGCTGAGTTTTGTTGCCTCCACCTGGACAAAATGTCTCCTGTTTCTGCTTTCTCCTTTTCCTGTCCACCACAATCAGAGTTGGGAGTGGTTACAGGTGATACTTGAAGTCATGTTACCCTCAAAAGAGAGAAGAGGTTCAGATTGTCCTTGCTTCCCCCTGAACTGTTCTAGCCATTTCCTCATGACCCTTCAGTAAAGGGTGGCCTGCATGGCCTTCCGAAAGCCTACTGAGGTCGCATCGCACCCTTCAGTCCCTCCCACCATCTCCTGAGCCCAGCACATATCAGCAACCCTCTCGGCACCTTCAGTGACCGGCAGCAGCAAAACGTCCAGTTTAGAGATATTCCAGCTTTCAGAGGGAAGAAGAATGCAGTAGCTACTGTCAGTGGGCTTATTTGTCAGTGCGTCTACACAAATCTCTAGTATTTGTAAGGTTTGAATGCTTTCTCATCCGCAGGGCCCAAGAGCTAGAATTAGAAGATCATCAAAGTAGACTGGAGCAGAAATTAAGAGAGAAAATGCTCAAGGAAGGTGAGTACAGTGATGTGTTCTGGGTCCTCGTTAAAGACAATTCCCCTCAGAAAGACACTGAGCAGAGCATGCTGCAATCTCAGAGGGGAGGGCCCCTGCCAGGGAGCCAGAGGGGAGCACAAAGCCAGCCTTCCCTCTGCCCACCACCCGCAGCACTGCAGTCCCCATCCAGCTTCATTCACTCCAGCTGCGAGAGCAGCACTTTGCTCCATCCCAAGTGTGAATAGGAACAAAGTCATTTATTCACACATATGTTCCCTTATCCATTCATTCCTTTAGCAAATATTTATGGAGGATCCAGTATGTGACTGGCATATGGAGGAGATCCACTGTGACCTGTGGTCTCTCTGTGGAGACCAACACCCCGTCCAGGAATTATGGTACAGTGAGATGAGTGCCACGACACAGGGGTTTGGGGACCACTTAGGCGGCGGTAAAGGAAACATCCTTCCCAGCATGGCTGGGCCAGGGCATTGTATGTGAGGAAATTATTTTCACCATGAAGGACAGAGAATTGAAGTAAATGCAAGTGACACGATATACTGATTTATACATTCATTGGCTCCAGGCAGCTGGGCATGTTCACTCTACTTTGCACTGTGTGCTTGTGGGACCTGACCCATGCATGGCTTTCTGACCATAGGTCTTAAGAACAAGTCAAATAATTCCTTTATACCTCATGGACAGAACATTGCGCCTGCCTATGGGTACAGGGCAAGCACTTAGTAACTATTAGACATCATCATCATGAATATTTTTATTTCAGCATTTCACCCCCATTTTACAGATTAGAAAACTGAGTCTGAGAACTTAAAAAGCATGCTCAAGATAAATGATAGGGCTGAAATTAAAGAACAGATCACCACAGACTCAGGGTCTCCTGTTGGCATTGACTTGTAGACTGTTTCTTTATAGCAAGAGTTCTATTTCTAACAATATCTTTACAGAGCTGCACTCTATGGGACAGATGAAAGTGGTATGCATCACCTTGGATTGTCAGAAAGGGCTTAAATGACAAGCCAAAACTGAGAGAAATTTATAAATTTTACTGAGCTGATTATCAGACAAGGAGCACTGAACTGGAATATACTTAATTAACAAACCATAGTGTAAAACTGAGGTCTGATTCACACATCTGATACCGATTTTAATTCACTCTGTTTCAGGGGTGGTCAAATAAATACCACCAAAGACTCCATTAGCCAACCTTCAATTCTTTTTTAAAAAAATTCTTACTGAGGACTGATGGTCATACATTTTCTCACCCATCTCGGGTATTCAAAAAAAAAATGCAGCTTCTTCATTTTGTCTGTACCTGAGCTCATCTCCCACAGACGCTTCATCCCACTAATTAGCAAGAAAAAAACAAAAAGAACTTTATATCCCCTTCTCTGGTAAACTTAGTCTGATGCAATATTTTAAACAGTTCCTGTAGGAAATGCTCAGTCTCTTTGGGATGAAAATGGTCGATCTTGCAGATGGCCACCCCTTCCTTCTGCTTTTCTCCCCAAGGTGACTGCCAGGTAATGGGAGAGGCAGGTTTGAGTGAGTTTGGGGCGTTAGGAACCTGGGTGGGTTGCGCTGAGTCATGGAGTCCTCTTGCAGCTGCCCGTTGTCATCGGGCTGCCACTCTCTCTGCCGGCATTTGCAGCTAAGGTGTGTGGCCGGCTAATCTACAGCCTGCCCTGGTCTGGGCGAGCTTGGAGCCTCAGGGCGTTCCCTGGCTCACCCGCCTCTCAGAGCAGCCTCCATTCAGCTTGGCCAAGGTTCACCACTGTGGGGCCACTTCACTCCTCATCCTGGGGGAGCCCCAGGGGCCAGCTCCCTTTGGCAACTCTGGGGCAAGTGAGCACTTCTAGGCTCCACACATGCCACACACATGAGATCAAGATCGGGGGAGTCACACTCACTCCCTATTTCTCTGCCCAACCACAAAGCACTGCCTGTGTATACATAGGGTGCCCTCTGGCTGGCTTCTTCCCAGCGTTCCAAACAAGACATGAGGCAAAGTCCTTGGGCCTCCAGTGTTCCCATCAAATGATACATTTCCTGCCCCCTTGGGGGTTCTAAGGTGCAGAATGGAGAGACTGGAACACAGGCAGAGTTCTCACCGGCCCATAAAACATGGACTGAGAAGGGAATGGTGTTTCTTTATCTCCCTGTTGTCATCTATACCTTCATCCTGGCCCCACCCAGAACCAAACCTGATGTGAGGGAAGGCGGCCCTTCTCCACTCTGGGATGGGGCTCACCTGGCTCCTGATGTATTAAACGGAAGGGGCTACAGGAATGTATGAAGTCTCCCTAAGCAATGATCTGGCTGACAAAGCTTAAATTTGGCTTTAAAGTCCTGTTTTGAATGTCAGAAAGGCATGACTGCAGTACCTGTCTCTTACCCTTTCCCTGTAACAATATTATCTCCCCCAGGCAAGTGGCTATTTCAGGCTATGTAGGAAGCGGGTCACGTGCTCCGAAAGGCTAAGGGGAAGAGCAGTCACATCCTCCTATTGGCCAGCTGTGCCTCACTGTGCTTCCACCTGGTCTCTACCCAAAGGGCTACGGCTCGTCATTAGCTACAAATTGAAAAAGGATTCCCGTAATTGAAGCACCGGCCACGGGTGCAGGCAGTCTGCTTAGAAACTCTGCTTGCTGCAGCTCAGACATGTTTAGGGAGAACAGACATTTTGTTGTTTGTGGATATTTTTTTTGTGCAGAAGAGGGGAGGGGGAGGCCTTGGTAGGGCTTGGCTGGTATTAACTTCTTTTTCTCACAAAGGGGTTCTCCCCGTCACTTTATATATAGTCTCAAGTTGGAAAGTGAGCTGCCCACAGCACAAAGCACCCACCTTTCTAATCTGTGGCTTCGAGGGCAGTTCCCTGGTGTTCAGTTCTTTTCCCTGTTTTCTCCATGGAAATTAAAGGGCAGCGCAAGTCCGGGACAATCAAGAACGCAGAGGCCAAGGGCTCTCCCGGGGCCAAATCTTACCTGAGGCCCAATAATTTTCTTTTTCCTCTTTCTTTAGAGAGCCAGAAAGATGAGAACGATCTAAATGAGGAGCGAGAAATATTCGCTGAGATGATGCAAGTGATTGAGCAGAGGGACCGACTTGTGGATTCCTTAGAGGAACAGCGCATCAGAGAAAAGGCTGAAGACCAGCGCTTTGAAAGCTTCATATTCTCCAGGGGCTGTCAGCTGAGCAGGACGTGAGCAGGGCCCTCCCCCTCGGAGCCAGCCAAGGACCGATCCTGCCCCGCACACCTCACACACTCCTGCTTCCTGTGGCAGCATTTGTCAGACCTGCGATTTGAGTTATACCGTACGGCAATATGTTTTCAAAAACTGAAATTCTCTCACGTGCTACAGCTGCCCCAGATCCTTCCAGAGATTATAGTGAAAAAATACAAAGACGCTTTTGAAAATGGGCAGTCAACCTCAGCAGATCTCTCTGACTGGAGGTGACCTTGGCAGGTGACCAGCATTGTTTACCCTAGAAGGTGACACAGATGGACTTTCCTTCTGCTTCTTACCATGTATCTGCCCAGTGCATTAAGGTGCACATCTTAAGATTTTTTAAGAAGCTGCCTTTTCATGAATATATCCATATTTGCCCTTTTTTTTTTTTTTTGCATGGATGACTGGTTCCCAAATGTCAGAAGGAAGCAGCAGTAGTTTAAAGATTAGGTTAATATTTAAATTTTGTTTCCAGCGACAGAGGAGAAACCTTGAGATTACTGATTACATAAAGCAAATAATTCACATAGCAGGTGTTGATTCAATCCAGGGTGGATTTAATTTACCAGGTGTATTTATAAGCCTTAATACACATAAGCAATGAGAGTTTAATAGAACATTTGAACCTTACTTTTATTTAAAAAGAGAGGAAATAAAACTTTAACTTTGTACTAACAGGATCACTAGTTTTCACCAAGTACTATTGGCTTAGAAAGGCTTTTTATTCTCAGAGCACTGTCCTTATGGTCCCTGGGACATACTGGAAAGCATTTTTAGAAAATGGATATTTTTTTAAAAAAACTGTTGGGAATAGCAAAGGGAAACGCCTTCATTTGTTGATAAAACTGTGGGTGAGATTGGTGCTGCCATAAAAATGCACACGCTGGTGATCCAAGGCAAGGAACCTGTCCCAGTGGTGGTCTTCTCGGGTTCGAAACAGAGAAGTGGCTCTGAGACGCCACCAGGGTTGCCCAGGAACCTATGGGACAAGATCTTCTGACTTCAAGGTGCAGCTGAGTGCAGTGACCCCGTTTGCCGAATCCCAAGCTGGGTCATGGATTTCGTAATGACATTTTCAATGTACTGTACAAGGAAAGCTGAGAGATGGAGTTTGTGCACTGATGTAGAATTCCTGGGATGTTTTGATGGTTCATGTGGAACCAAAGAAAAGATTTCAAATGGTGACCTATTGTCATAGAGTATTTGATTGTTCTCCCTCGATGGGATTCTTTGAAGATTCGCTCTGTCATTGACAAGAGGTGGACTGGAGAACCCTTTGTTGCTGTATGTTTGGCCTTTCTCGTTTCTGCAAGTGTTTAAATGTGTCATTGGACAAAAGGTGCTTTGCAACAGTCAGCTCTGACTAGAGACCTAGCTTCCCTCAGTTTGAGTTGAGCCATGAACCACTTCTGTTTGAGATGCTGTCTATATACATGGAGCTGGCCAACCGACAAGCCAGAAATAGGAAGTATAACTGGATTTCCTGAGTCAGCCAATGTTTTGGGTCATATTAAAACACATCGTTTCCATGTATATCAAGCTCCTAACGTTGTAGGGTTTTTCCCCCTTCTCCTTTCTTTCAGAATCAAGTCTTTTAGTGCCTGAATTCTAATATTAGGAAACATGTATAGGCATCTACCTACCTATCTATTTATCTATGAAAACTGTGTCTCTTATGGCTATTTATCTATTTTATTTATTTGGTGGAAATTGCTAATATGATTTCCTCATAATTCTGGTTTTCCTATGTTATAATTTGGAGAAGACCTATTTTCACTAAGATGTTGGTACATAAGCTATTTAATATACTAGTACAAATAACTCAGATGTTTGGGGCAGAGAGTTATGTAGTATTAAAGATTTATGGAGCTAGTCAAACTAATATTTCCAGCCACCAGGCATTTGGAGGTAAGACTATGGATGTGCAGGAATATTAACTATTTTAAGAAGGAGATATATAACTTCAGATTTCATTCTAGAATGTGTAGACCTAGTCAAGCCTAGACTTCTCTGTCAGTTATATACAAGTGCACTTTGGATACTTGCATACATTTGACAGATGATGCTCAAATGTGTAGTGTCTGGGTTGTCATTGTACAAAAGAATTAACTGCCACTTATTTAAATTTGTTCTATTTCCATCTAAAAGAAAGATTCTCCTAAGAAGGCCAAGAAAGAAGGTAGTTCTTGGCTCTCGTATTCTGTTAATAGATGAGAGAAGCAATTTATTCACTTTTTCTTCCAAAGACTGTACTCTGTGGTTTAAGACTCTGTCTTATCTGGCCAAGTTAAAACATAAATCTCATCCTTGCACTGGCCTTCCGTTTTACCAGTACAGAGAAACTATTTCAGTGATCATTCCCAAAAGGACGCAAACATTGTGGCTGTTAAAGTATTTTAAGTAATTCCATTTCTTAGTCACAATAGAGGCCGTTCTTAGACCCTCAAAATGTATAATATTCTACATTTTGAAGACAGTTTTTTTGTATGCGGTATGAGTAAGGTTATGATGAAAACAGACACGGCCCTCACTGTCCCCTGAAAGATCACTTGTGATCAAAGCTAAGGAATGTAGGACTCTGAGTGAGACGTAAAGCCCCAGCCAGCCTCAGGTCCTATTTCATGTCTCACACAGCTTCTAAGCTAAAGCAAAGGCTCATGATAGTCTTTTTGTAAAAAAAATATTTTTTTTTTTATTGATTTCAGAGAGGAAGGAAGAGAGAGACAGAAACATCAATGATGAGAGAATCATTGATTGGCTGTTTCCTACTGGGCATTGAGCCTGCAAACCGGGCATGTATCCTGACCGGGAATCGAACCATGACCTCCTGGTTCATAGGTCAATGCTCAACTGAGCCACACTGGCTGAACTCATGATAGTCTTAAGTTCAGAATTTTTCATAAGTTGGACCAAGAGGAAGGTTCTTAAGCTTGCTCTCCCAAACCACTCGTTTATTTATGTATTTGTTTAAGAAACATTCTCCAAATACCCATCGGGGTTCTGCTGCCTTGTGCTAGGTGCTGGGATACAGAAAGAATATTTTTCCTCCACTCTGCCCACACACAAAATAATACAAACATAAACAAGTCCCATTCCCAATAAAATACAGTGGGGCCTTGACTTGCGAGTTTAATTCATTCTGAGACCGAGCTCGTTAACTCAAATTACTCTATCAACTCAATGCAAAAAATCGGCTGAGAGACAGCTGGTATCTCAAAAAACTTGTTAGTCGGGACACTCGTAAGTCAAGGCCCCACTGTACAAAGATACAGAACTATTTTTATTATAAGCATCAACCTATTCTACTCACATTCATCTTAAGCATAGAGACTTGCAGCCCCAACTCTTGTAGTGCTGCTTTGGCAATAAAAACACAAATAAGTTCGTGTTTCTAAAACTGTGAAAAATAATATCAGGTTATACTCTCTCGTTTAAACCTTGATTTGGCTGTGCTAGGCGGCTCGGAGTCAATCAATGCTGAGATGCAGCATGTTAATTGCAGCTGAGAAAGGAAGTGGCAGGTGTTTCCACCTCTGTGGCGAGGCACTGAAATGGATGTTTTCTGCATTCTGGGGGCCGAGGGCAAGTGAGCAATGTCTGTCTTCCAGGAAGCAGATCTGCAGGCTCTTCCTTGCAAACTGAAAATGGCAGCATGTCCCCACCCGGGTGGCTGATCTCCCCAGCAGGGCAGCGGTGGCAGGGGGCAGCTTGGGCTGCCTCATGAGCAGAGAGAGTGGCGGTGACTGGATGTGGGGAGCTGCAGTGTGGGAGTTTATTGTAATAGGAAGGCTCACGCACAGGGGAGCGCGTGCTGTTTCACCTACTGTTTATCTTCTAGCCTCGCTGCTGAGGTGCTTGTAAAAGATTAATTTGCTCCCACAATTGGGAACTATTCGTGTGGATTGAAATGTGTTACATATGCACTGACTGCTGTAAATACTGAAACGGACCAAAAATAAATGGTTTTGTGTCTGAGGAATAGAAACATTTCCATGCGGGCTCGGTCTGGCACCTCAGAGGGCAGTGTCCATTTCCCTTCTTTCTTCTCAGTGAAAGGACCCGGGCTAAGCTCTGATTTCGTCTGGGAGGGAGTCGGTGAGTTAACGCTGGACGTTTGATTCCCACTGGGGCACCTGGAAAGACTTACCTGACCAGCAAATTGGAGTGGAATGGAGGGAGAGAAGGCTCACCTCAGGTGTATCCTCTCAACAAAGAGAGCTATTCTCAGAGCCCAGGGAGGTGGGGGAAGGGAAGCTAGACTAGCTCCACCTCCTGCTGCTCCTCCCTCCTTACCTGGGGAGCCTGGTTTTGTATTGCATTCACTCAACAGGAATGCTCCCTTCAGCACAGCACTGGCTTCCAACACACTCTTTTAGGACTGAGATTCTGTTGTGTTGTTATTTTGTTCTTTTTAAAATATATTTCATTGATTTCAGACTGGGAGGGAGAGGAAGAGAGAGAGAGAGAAACATCAGTGATGAGAGAAAAATCACTGGTCGGCTGCCTCCTACATGCCCCACACTGGGGATGGAGCCCACAATCTGGGAATCCTGTGCCCTGACTGGGAATTGAACTGTGACCTCTGGTTCATAGGTCCACACTCAACCACTGAGCCATGCTGGTTGGGCTGTGGTTTTTTTGTTTGTTTGTTTTTGTTTTTAATCCTGGTGCATGCAAATTCACGAAATGTGAGTATGTAATACACCAGAATGGCCACATCAGCTTAAGGAAGTGGTCAGTCCTATCATTTCACTCTATGTTCCCCATTGTTTGAAAGCTTTTGTCTGCTGATAGAATATGTGAAATGATTCATTTTTTTCCTATTGAATATCCACCAAAAGTAAACATAACTGAGATAAGAGCTCTTGTTCTGCAAGCGCTAACATGCCCAGGGAAAGCGCCAAGGAAAGGCCAGCCACCTCTGATGGCGCTTTGTGAGTTTTCCTTGGGCCCCTGCTGGGGCGCATGTGCCCTCCTCCTGATCACCAGCCACAAGCTCTGGCCTTTCCCTGACCCTTAGCTACAACTCACCATCACTCAGCCCTCAGGGCACACTTGATATTTCATGCTCACGCCCTCTCCCAGCTTGGTTTCTGGAAATACAAAAAGGAAAACCTATGCTGCCCTGGCTCCTTGGGGAGCCCTCTGCCCCTGATGCTGGTAACGGGGCCTGGGAATGCAGCTTACCTCCCGGCCAAGTGCTGTCGGCTGCATGGATTATTCCCTTTAATCCTGAAAGGAAAATCCTTCAGATCAACATTCCCCCATTTTGAGAAGTGAAACTGAGTCTGGGCCCAGGTGTTGGCCTCTAGGCCACCAGGCTGTATGGCTGGCTCTGTGTCCCTGCCTGGACTTGTGCCTTGTACTGACCTGTTCCTCTCTTCCTGTCCTAGATTGGTTCCCATTGCCACCCTCCCCAACACCCCAGTGCTAAGCCCTGCTTGGAGGAAACCTGGGAATAGAAGCCGAAGCTGCCACTTTGCAGCATTTTATGTTACCTTCTGCACTGCCTCTTATACACTCTCACGTGGAAAAGATTGTTTAGAACGGGTAAATTACCTACCCTCTGGCACCCCTCACAGAAACCTTTCCAGAAACATGACACTCCAGGAAGGTGCACCCTATGCATCCAGATGACCAGGTACTCCTGACACACTGCCATGCACCCCCTCAGGACACTTTTTTTTGCCTCAAATTAGAAGCATGGCATCATATAACCAAGTCCCCAGACCCAAGGATAGGGAACATAAGAGCTCAGGGCCGAGGGGATGGGAGAGAAAGGACTGAGAGAGTGTGTTGGGGACCAGCTGACAGTGAGGTAGCTTCTGCAGGCCCTTAGAGGTGGAGGGAGGGGTGAGTAGCGAGGGTGGGGAGCAGGATGGTAACAACTGGGAAACAGCATTCACGGTCCCCTGTGAATCTGGTCCTGGGGCCGCAGCTCCAAATGCACTGGGGCACAGAAATTCAGTTCCTTCCCTTCCCAGAATAATGGAAGGTGTTTCCATAAGAATTTGGGGGAAGTGAGTGTGTGCATAGAGTAGTCCCAAATATGTAGGTACGTGTTTTGAAAACTAATCAATAGCTTAAGAAAAAAAATCAACTAGTTAATCATTCTAAGAGTTACTAGTTCAGGGCTTTAACTCCAGCTCCACCGCTCACTGGATGATCTGAGCAGCTCAGTTGTGCCTCAGGGTCTTCGTCTGTGAAGTGGGGCTGGTCCTCCTACCCCTCCCTCCCAGGTTCCTCGAAAGAGTCACTCTGCTGTACACAGCTTCCAATTTTAGAATGGGAATGGCTAGAACATAACTTTGTGATTGGAATGACCATGGTGAACCTCAAACTATTCCAATTCCAACAGCAGAAACAAACAAAAAAACTTCAAATCTCAGCAGAATGGGCAGCTTCCACACGAGGAGATAGAAGCAGGACATGGGGCCAGGAAACATGGCTTCTCAGGGCAGTGTCACCGCCCTTTTGGTCTCCCTCTCTCTCTCTCTCTCTCTCTCTCTCTCTCTCTCTCTCTCTCTCTCTGAATCGGCTTCT